TAATTTCAATAAAATATTACACATTTTGACCAACCTAAACGGTTTAAAGACAGGTGGAAAGTATGAAATCACTATATAGGGTAGGAAAAAGGTCTGGACTGTTCGCACTAGTTTTTGATATTGCTCAGATATACTGGATAACATATTTTCAAACAATTTTATTTATACTTGTATTTAACTCCTACATTTACCGATACTTACTTTGTTGTAGTTTTAGGGCTATGTTTTGTTGGGGAGGTAGTGAAGAAATGCAAATTTTCACACCATTTCGAAAAATGTTGGAAAACATGCTTCCGCTAAGTCTGGTGGATATTTCGTTAGTTGTTTGTGAGATATGCACATTAAGTGATCTATTACGGTTTTCAACCCAACTACAAAAAAAATTTGGGTTGAAGTGTTGTCAAACTTCAACTCACTTTTTGGTATTACGGTTTTCAACTCTGTGCCAGTAGGGTTGACTAGAGTATCAAAAAATTTTAACTGCTAACAAGCAGTTGTAGTTAAACATTAATGATTTTATTAATAAATAGAACAGTTTTATTTATAATTTTAAACTATTTTCATCTGTTATTATGTACAAATCCATAGGAAGGTTAAAAATTTGTTGAGCTCGTGGAGTAAAATCTCGAAACTGGATGAGACAAGATGCAATATGGAAACATTAAAATAAAACTAATTTACCGCGGGAAGTGTTTCGAACGTAAAGAGTCGATACAATCTACTACTCCTAGGAATATACTTATTGAGTAAAATTAAGTTTTTGAACCGTTTTGCTCCTCTTCAGTCATTGGTGTTTTATCCACAGCGCACAAATATGGTGTTCAGAGTATATAACAGCAGATTTTCTGAGATATCGTAGGTTGCTTCAGCCCAAAGTTAAGGAAGTTGGAATGGATTTAAGTCATCACAACGGCTTTTTCTTATGCGCAGCACATCAGTTTGACCCCAACATTTTTGTCATCGTAGTATATGTAAATCAAAACTAATGTCCATTTTAATAATTATTCACCTTTTCGTGAGTAGTAACTAAATAAAATTGTTTTGATTTTTCGTTTAAAAAATTTCAGCTGTTTAATTGTCTGTTAAATCTTAATTTTTTAGGTTGGCAACACCAATCAAACTTCAACTGAAAATAATTTAAAATCGTGATACCAAAAAAAAGTTGGGTTGATTTGAAGTTAAATTGCTTCAACTTGAATTCATCCGAGTGGAGTTGAACACCGTAATAGGGGTAAAAATATTTCAGGGTGTGAGTCAGACCTGATTTACCAAAAAATGTTAAGCCGTAAATGCCCTTCCCTCTACCAAATTAAAGTTTTGTAGTATGTTTTCTAACTTAGTTAAATCACTTTATATTTTTTCTAATAACGACAATTTGTGAGTGCCAATGCCGTCTTGCCATCCTGATAATTTTTAAACTCTTGCAACATGTTGCTACAGAGTATAATAGTTTTGTGCACCTAACGGTTGTTTGTATCATATAACGAGTCACATAAGGGAGGGAAATTTTCAGTTTAAATTTTCTTCAAAGTGGGCGTGGTCCCGCCCTCTAATAGTTTTAATTGTGCATATCTCCTAAAAAAAATATTTTTAGCACTCCTATCAACAGTGTGAAAATGGGTAATAACGGTTTTGATTAAAACTACTAAAAGTGCGATAGCTCATTATATAAACCAGTCAGAAACGTTGAATTTTACACTTAGGATGATACAATTAAACTTTATAGGAGCTAAAGCAAAAATTGGGCGATGGGTGTGGCACCACCCACCTTAATGGGAAAACACATGTCTCGGTATGTTAATAGTATGTGGTATTGACAAAAATTTATAAAATCGGGTCAATACTACCCCAACTCTCATATACTAACTACTGATAATGACTTTTATTATTCTAACAAGTTTTATGCTGAATAAGTCGGTCAGTGAGTATTATTTATATATATAATATATATAATTTTAACATTTTGAACTAGTAAAGTGTATTTAATGTCTCATAATCCCTAAGTACTTATATCTGATATTTTATTATTTCAAGATATGTTTTATAGGTTTATATCTATGAAAAATATACATTATTTATACATTGTTCTAGTTTGATCATATCTGGTAAAAATTTCTCTTTACCATCTTCAATATGTCATGGCATTTTGTTGATAAGCCAAAACCTGGCACAGAAACCGCTTTGGAAGCCTGTGATTATTTTGTGGATGAAGTCATTGATTTTTCACATTCCTTAGGTAAAACAAAACTCTACACGAATCAATTTACTTTTTGAATTACTAAACCTTAAAATGTATATCCTTTTTTATGTATATTTAATGAAATTTCTTTTTATTTGCAGATGCACGCGAACAAGTTCGAATGATAAAGCATCGCGAATTACGTAACGCAGTGATAAATGGCGATGAACGTACAGTTTGTGTTCTTTTGGAAGCGTTAGGTACTGAAAGACAAGTTGTCACGAATATGGCGCCCGCTGGAGCAAACACCTTGCTTTATCTGTGAGTTTCATTGTATATGGAAATTATTCTGAAATACTTTCACATAATAAGATCAGAATTAGATTCAACATAATAGTGATGGAGAACATTAACAGACTATTTACAAAAGGCTCGAGCTTAAAAGTACATTTAAAACACTAATACTTCGCTCGTTTGCATCACCGTATTTGAATTAGTTAAAACTCGCCAGAAACAGAGCGTCTTACGAGTAACAGAGATTCCTGTAAGTCAATGGAGTGCATTTTCTGTGTTTATTGTTGTGTTAGCAACATGCCTTTGAAGAAGAATGGTTCAAAATGTGGCTCGTATTTCATACAACCCTGAAGCGCAGGTTTGTTTTACTATTTATCGCTTAACAAACTATTTGAAGTTATACTGACTGAATTGTGTTTGGCTATATATTATTACAATGCTTTACTTCACAAATTTCTGGCAATTTGCGCACGTAAATTTGCGATAACTTGTGAGTTTTATTTCCGCTTAAATATTCCTAATTGGTATAGTGCCTGTACTTAGGGTGGGACGCAATGACAGACAAGTTATTTTTCCAAGCGAATTTAGATTATTAATGTCAATTTCTCCCATAACGACGAGGTCGGAAGCGAAGTGAAGTGTTGCTTTTAAAAATTGCTGAGAGTTGTTTGAGAAGATAACGTATGCATCATAAAACCCGTCGTTTATATTTAAAAAATATGAAAAATTTAGTTTCTAAGATATAATTTGATACAAAAATTTATAATTTTAAATTTAAAGCCAATGAGGTCCTTTATTCTATAAAAATTTGATAGTTTGTTTTATGGTATATACAATTCTTAATATTTTAGGGCTTCACAAGCTGGATATGAGGGCATCACCAATCGTCTTTTAGATGCTGGAGCTGACGGTCGTTCACATGCCGTTACCAAATATTCACCACTTTATGTTGCTGTACATCATGGATATTATAATATAGCAAAATTAATGTTGGAACGGTTCCCGGAATTGATAAAGGTACATATATATATATATATATATATATTATATATCATTTAGTTTGTGCCTATAGGTAGACATATGTATGTAATTAAACGTGAGTTTTTATAGCAACCAACAGTGGAGCGCTGGCTGCCAATACATGCCGCCTGCATTAACGGCCATATTCCTTTACTTGAGTTACTAATCGGATTTAAATACCCACAACATTTGTATACTACTTATCGCGATGTAGAAGGTCAATTGGAGTGGCGTTTACCTTTCGATCCAAATTCTCAAGATGTAACTGGTCAGACAAGCCTTTATATTGCCAGCATACTAGGCAACAAGGCATTGGTAAATTTGTTACTTAAATGGCGAGTGAAATGTCAGAAAACAGTAGCCATTGAAGTTGATAGAAACGGAAAGGATGCTACACGAAATTCTAGTAGCAGTAGTACCCCTATTACGCCTACACGCAAGCGTATTTCATTTGGTATCCAAGCAATTATGTTAAAATTGAATATTACTGGGGAAGACGATAATCGTGTTGATGTAAGTAGTAATAATAATACGATTTAAGTACTGAAAATAAGTTATTGTTTTTACATTATTCTTTATTTGATAGGAAGAGAAGGATTCTGAAATATGTCCCATTAATTTAAATTTACTTTGCGGGGCAGCACGTGAAACTGCACTCTTAGCAGCAGTGCGGGGTGGTTTTGTTGATGTCGCCAAATTGCTACTGGAACATGGGGCCAATCCTAATATTATAGCTAAACCAGTTGAGGATCAAAATGACCCAAAGTGCATTGAGGAAATATATGGGCTGAGTAATGTTCCAATTACAGAGGCGTGTAAACAGCATTCACTACCGATGCTTGAATTGCTTTTAAAGTAAATTCGTGCTAACTAGCTATATCGCAACAAATATTTATAATTTGTTTTTATGTCATCAGATATGGAGCTCGTGATGCAAATGGCACGGCACTAAGTGTGGCCATCACATCGGAGGATGAAGTAATATTGAATCGCTTGCTTGCCCAACGTGTACATCCTGATTCAGATTATAAAATTAACAAAAAGGGGCTTCCTGCACCTATTGATGTAAATGCTTTTCTACCTTCAGCGGCAAACATCTCATACAGCGCAATGTTTCCTAATGTACCAACAATTATAGATTGGCACAATAATACAAATGTTCATTTGCCATTTGTGCGGTGAGTCTGAATTGTACATGTTTTACTTCTTTGGGTTGATTATAATATGTTTTTGAAAAAAGAGCAAATTTTGATTAAAAGGTATTTTATAATCTATCCTTACTCTCAATGTAACGTCTTTTATAAGATTTTTTACACTCATATTTATATCAAATTAAGTTATTTCACCTGTCATGGAATGAGGTATCTCATATCCTTGAATTCTTGGTATCATATAAAACCAACGTTTAGTGAGAACAAAACAAAAATACGCCAATCAGTTTTATTTTCCGTTTTTTTCTAATATTTTTCCATTTTGAAAAATTCCACTCAATAAAAATACAGAAACATTTTACGTATAAGTAATTTATTAAGAAATACCGAATAGATCTAAATGAGAATGTAACATGTACATCCTTAGACACATTCTACATTCGATGATGGAGAAATTCGTAATCATGCCAGTGATCAGCTCGTCATTATTGTGAGATCTATGGTATCCAGGGAAACCATGCACTACTGCCTGACAACTGTTTCAGCTTTTTCTCCTCATTGCTAAGAAACATCGGGAAAATATCACAATCCTTTATTTTTTTATTTGAGGGGCTACAAAGATTGCAGCACTTATTTTCACCTCTGAAAGCTTAGGAAAAAAGTTCTTCATATATTTGGAAGATGATCACCTAGCTCCCTCCAATTTCTCGGCACTGCAAACTTCATTGCTCTTTTTTCCCTTCCGTACCATCCTTCAATAAAACGTAACATATTATAACCTAATAAATGTTAATAAAATAGTTAATAATTATTATAAAAAAGAGGGAATAAACTCACCATCTAAATACATATACATGACACATGTGGAGTTCATTTTTTGTCCTGATTTTGAACAGGTATATTGAAGTAAGTTTGATATGGTTCGCAAATCTTTAAATTTTTACTAAAATCATACTTTTTCACTCTCCGTTTAATAAATTCGTCACGAATATGACAAAACGAGTCAGCGTCTCGTTTACAACTTCTCGAAGACATTTTGTGCTGGTTGTTACAGGAAAGAAAATTATGAAACACATTATTCCTCTGCAATTTGAAAACACACACTGTTGTACACAAAGAGCGATGCAAGCGATACTACCTACCGTGCTCTATATGGGCGCGAAAATCAAAAATGGTCAAATGACTATAATTGGTTTAAAAGCAAATATTTTCGATTTGCAATCGTCCTTTTCAATATATATTTGCTTATATAACCAGAATATATTAAGTAAAACCCATGTTCAAAATACAAATTTTTATTGTTGACCTGTGTTATATCCTTTTTTTAATTTTTTATATGAGACATTTTTTTTCAGATTAGTACAGAAGTTCGTATTTTATAACGCTTTTATTAAATTCACCTGTATGTTTGTATGTTTCTACTGACAAAACAATGAACAGTTTGATAGGCACTGCAGAAACAAAAAAAAAAGTCTCCTAAAACTATGCAGCTAACTAAAAGCATCCACTATCAATGCTGTCATTTGAATGCAAAATTATTCAAACACATCCTTAAAGAAAGTAGGTAGGAAAGGTTTAAAAAATTAAACACGCTTAGTGCCGTTTCACATTGGGATTCAAAAGAGTCTGATGTTTTTCAAATTTTCTTTTGGTGTCGCTCTGGGCATTCACACGGTCAAAAAGAGTCCAGCAACTCGAGTCTAGTTTTTCTGCATTCCTTTTCACAAAATTTTCGTAAATGTTTGTGCGGTTCGACTGCGTGCTGCGTATTTCATTTGTATGTTGAGATGATGGTCACACATTTTGCTTGCAATGAATTACCATGAATATGGTAGAACAATATGCATAATACAAGTACCTACCCGCTAAATAGTTTCAAAGAAACACTAAAGACGGGAATTCCCTAATCCACAAGAATGTATTGAATATCCGCAACTAATATTTTCAAGGCCAAATTTATAATAGGAATTTCCTAATCTTTAAGTATTAAAAACTCATAATTTCTTTACTCCATAATCTATATCCTCTATTTTCTCCTTATTTACAATTTGTCATAATATTTCTATTATTATATGCATACGTATTTGCATATTACATACAAAAATAGATAACAGAACTCAAATTTGCGATCGAATTCATTTGAAACCGAGCGCTCTTGCAACCATTCAAAGAATTTGAAAGTGAAATGCTGAAAAGGTTAGCAGCGAGCTGTTACGAACAAGAACACAAAGCGTGCCACCCGAACACGAGTGGCACGGTCCCTTCGTCTTTCCTCGTCGTCCCCTCGCCCACAATAAACTGGTATGAGACTCTTTTGAATCCCTGTGTGAAACGGCACTTATAAAGCACTTCAAACTAAAGAGTGAAAAATAATTCTTCTCATTAATAAACAAACAGTAATATTGACCGAAAAATACTTATTATTATATATACATATATATGTATCGTATATCGAAAATAATAAAAGACGTTTCTAGCGCTGTGTTTATAATTCTACTTGCATTTTTGAGTCTTTATTATTGCATGCGTATTGCATGTAAATACATATGTTTGTATGTATGTATTGTCTCGGCATATTCTATGATAAATATATTCAAAGATACATATACTACATGTTCAAAGATATTTGAACACAGTTAATTTAGCGCTGCCTCCTAAACATGGTCTAACTATTATACTTCGTTACAACAATAACATCAGGTAGTCTAAGAAGGAACATGATACCTAGATAATAAAAAAGTATCCTGTGTCAATTTATTTATAAGTTCACTATAATTAAGATATTGCACTTTGTTGTACGTCATTAAAAGTTAAAAACGAAGGGTACAGATGTACAGTAAACGCCAAATAATATATGTATATAAGTATATAATAACAATTGATTCATCAGTATATATTTTACTTTATGTTATTGCAGTATTAATTGGCTGATTAATGGCGTTCTAAAATTGAATCCCAAGCTTCAAGGACATCCAATGGTAAATGAAATCACATTGACTGCCATTACGCGTATAGACTTCTCGCATAACAGCCTGTCCGTTATTCCCATGGAAATTTTTAAATTAGTTAGCTTGAAGTAAGTATCATCAATGTATTTACCCTAAATATTAACTACTGATATTAAATTTACATTGCGCCTATCCCACAGATATTTAAATATCGCTCAGAATAAAATTTCCAGCTTACCTTCGGCTGAGCAATCAACTAATAGCGCTAAATACTCCTACAATTGTCCTGTACTTGAGGAGCTCTTCATACAGGATAATCGATTAGTTACATTACCTACCGAAATATTCCACTTGCCGTCACTTACTATTTTAGATATTTCAAATAACAAGCTACAAGAAATGCCATTTGATATGTGGAAAGCGCCAAAGTTGCGTGAATTGAATATAGCTTTTAATTTGCTCAGGGACTTGCCTGTGCCTCCTATGCAGGTAAGAATATGTAGATGTTTTGTTACTATTATTATTATACTATAGCAACATGTTATACGGAGCAAGGCCTAAATTATTCGAGATAAACATTTGGTATACATATAAGCACCGTCAAGATGGCGGACGTGATTTCTGGATTTCTGCTAATATATCCTCTCTGTTCGTGCAAACGATAACTTTAATATGGAAATATCTTGATGATATTTGGTTTTATAAGGGCTGTTGTAACACCTTAATTAAACGGAATAAATTAATTTCCGCTAAATTTTCCGTCCGTGCCGCTGTCCACGCAAATGATAATTTCAATAAATATGAAACTAAACATCAACAACATATATTTGGTACAGGTGTTAATTGACACTCCTGTAGTTGCGCAACGCCTAAGCTTAAAATAAAAAACTCAAATATCAATGATTATGTCAAAAAATATTTGTCCAGAACTCATGTTCTTTTTTCGCTTCGTACCCTGGAAAATTTATAAAATGCCATAACTAAGCACTAACTTGAGATATAAATTTGTAATTTGGCACAGGGAATCACAGTACTGTGCAAGCGGCACATTTTCAAAAAATGGGCGGCACCTCGTCCTCTAAAAGGGTTAATGTACATATCTCCTAAACCATTTAGGTACAACAACCAAATTCGCTGAAGACAAATCCCTTAAGCACCCCTACCGACAATGTAAAGGTGGATGAAATCAGGTGATCATCCCGCCCACTCCCCATATAACTGTTAAAAACTACTAAAAGCGCGATAAATCACTAAATAAATACGCCATATACATTAAATTTTACACTCAGAAGGATACAAGAGAACTTTATAGGAACCGGTATCAAAATTGGTAGATGAGCGTGGCACTACCCAGCTTTTAGTGAAAACCCGTATCTTAGGACCTACTTGACCGATAGAGACCAAATTTAGTGTGTAATCTCATATTGACATTCTTATATTCCAGTGCGCAAATGACTACTACGCCTACTACCCATATAACACAATTTCAAACTCCATCTGATTCATTCATTTTCCAGAATGCGAATCAAGCACCAATGAACGGGATCGGGATATTTTGCACGAATAGTACCTTTGAGTTGCGCTATCTTATCACTAAAACTTGTCCAAATTGGACTAAAATATTCAAGCCCCCAGATAACGAATTTGTAGATCCCATATGCCTAATAGAGAGATTTTCGAATTACCGGTTGATTTTATATCGCTTATATCGGCTAATAAGTAAGATACCTTAGCAAAATTGACTGAACGTATAATATTGGATATACTATAGTTTAATTTCGAAAATATGTGAAATTGGTCCACAAATTACTCAAACTACCATACAAGTATACTAATATATAATATATGTATATGGTATATATAATATGTATGTATATGGTATATTGAATTTCGTTGTTTTAACAAACCTTATGAAAGGCATTGATGTTTGACGATGAATATATCGTAAACACTTAACTTAATCGAAAAACTATACGGACCATTTTTGTAGAGCCGAAAATTTTCTACTACTTTGCAATTTAAAATGATTTTTTGTTTTGAGTTATAAAATTTGTCTTAAAATAGTCAAACTTCAATCGAAATATGATTTCAAGTAGTTATCTGATAATAAGAGAAAAGTAGAAAACCGTTAGGTGGAGGACCTTCCCGTTACATATTAAGAACTAATAGCTTGGAGAGCTTTTCTTAGAGAGTGAGGTTAATCAATTTTTCAGAGTACGAAGCGAAAAAAATCAAATTTTTCGTCCTTCCGGCTGACTTTATATCGAAAAATATGAATATAAGGTATCTTAATACGAGGGCTGCTATATATATTTCTGGCCTAATAATGAAAATACGAATATTTATCAACGAAAATGTTTTTTTTTTTTCTCGGTCGATTGCTGTTTTGTTTCGAGCTCATACGCATAGATCTATGATTCGTCACCTGTGACGATCTTATAAACGTCTTTTGAAGTATAGTATTTTTTCAGCATTTCTTTACACCAATCCACATGAGCGATTGTCAAATTGTGCGGGATCCAACGAGAACAAACCTTTTTTACGGCCAGGTGTCCATGCAATATCGAATGTATGCTGGTGGGAGAAATGCATAGGCATGCCTCTATCTGAAGGTATGTTACATGACGGTCTTGCATTATCAGTTCACGTACGGTATCGATGTTTTCTGGCACAACGGCTGTTTTTGGACGACCTTCACGGAATTCGTCTTTGAGCGAGCGTCGGCTACGATTGAATTCGTTGTAACAGTTTTTCACAGTGCTATAGGATGGTGCTTCATAGCCATACAAAGATTTTAGTTCATCGATGCACTCTTGTCGTGATAATCCACGTCGAAAGTTGTGAAAAATGATCGCACGAAAATGTTCACGAGTTAATTCCATTTTTTGGCCGAGATGAATTTTTTAATTCCATGTAAATAAAACAATTCACGATTAAATGACAAAACGTTCTGAGTGATGTTATGCTAAAAAATGTCAAACTTTCCAATGGAAATGTCAGATTGCACCTGGCAATACTTAGTGTTGCCTAGGCCAGCCAGCTATATAGCAGCCCTCGTACAATGAAGAAGCTATGTTTTATTGAGCATGCTATTATTTGGGACACAAAGTATATAATACCGGTTTAAACCTTTCCCTTGCCCTCGTATACCCACTAGAATTTTCTTAACCTCTTTATTTCATATTTTTAAGTCCTTTGTAACATTTTTGTAATAACGTTACCAGATACCGGGAAATGTTTTATATGGCTTTATTTGCTACAAATTGCGAAAGTATACAGTGTCCGGCTGCAGCCGAACGTAGTCTATACATAATTGTTATTTATTTAAGTTTATTTTTCGCAGGCTCTAAAATCTCATCTCAGCTTAGAAAAGTTGCAAACAGAATCATGTCTTAATGCTGATCCTACATATGCCTACAATTCTAATAAACACCGACAATTAGATGTTCATCAACTTATACATCGTAACATTTGGGCTAATTCGTTAGAAATAACTGATAATGAAATGAAGTGGAATAAATCCAAGCAGGAGGAGGGATTATCAAAGTTAAATAGCTTAAATATAGCCAACAATCTTTTTACCAGTATACCAGTAGCATTACCCTGTTTAGCGGCCAATTTAACTCGACTTAATATGTCATATAACAGCTT